TTTTTGGTTTCAGTTGTAATATGCCCATTATATATATTTTTTACTATAATCCAAAAACAGGTCTAATAAACAAGCAAAATTTTTAAAGGTAGATAAAAATTTATACAAAAAAGACTGGTTAAAAGGAATGAAAAGAAATAACTCCAATAAGAGTATATTAGGATAAGGAATGGAACTCAACCGGAAGCTTCGCTGTTTTAAAAACTTTTGAAAAATTACAACTTAAACGAGGAGTGTATGCTGATGTGAGTAGGTAATCCTTTTTTGATATCATTTTGTCGCTTCACTAGGGTATGGACATTTTGTCGTTTTTACATTTTTTCCCTTGTCGTTTTGTCGCTCCACAGTGACTCTTTTGCATTGAAGCGTCCATTTTGTTTGATTTTTCTACTGTAATACGAGACGGTACACCTCAATTGAGTCCGCACGATTGAGTCCCCACGATTGAGTCCGCACGATTGAGTCCCCACGATTGAGTCCCGGCACAATTGAGTCCCCACGATTGAGTCCGCACGATTGAGTCCCCCTTGTATATACCTCAATTGAGTCCCCGTGGATTTAATTATATTAAAAAGGATTAAGAGGGATATCTGGGGATTTGGGGGGATTAAAGTGAACATCAGGGGACCTGTATGTGACATCGAGGGATCAAGTTGGATATCGGTGAATATTAAGAGATATAAGTAGATTTAAGCGATTAAGGGGGATATGGGTGGATATTGTGGATTTGGGGATTAGGAGGGATATCGAGAGATTTTTTGAATGACAGCTCATTCGAATGAGCTGAGTCGAATGACACAAAAATCAACATGGTTCTCGCCGAGATATGGGACTCGAAATGGTCAAATCCACGGGGGATTTTTGGGGACAAAAAATTCGAATATTAAATTATACCTCATTCGAAAGGGCTCGACGAGCTGAGTCGAATGACATCAAAATCAGCTTGATTCAATGATTCTGAACAAAGTTATGACCAACTGAAACTGCGCTGGAAAACTGTTTTGTGCTGCTACGGAGGGTATGTGGGGTGCAGCAGGGGTGCACAGGTGGTCTGTCCGGCATTTATACTTTAAAAAATAGAAATTTTGGAATAATCCCGCATGTCGGATATGGAAATTTTAAACTTATTAAATCCACGGGGACTCAATTGAGGTATATACAAGGGGGACTCAATCGTGCGGACTCAATCGTGGGGACTCAATTGTGCCGGGACTCAATCGTGGGGACTCAATCGTGCGGACTCAATCGTGGGGACTCAATCGTGCGGACTCAGTTGAACTGCTCCGATACGAGAGATGTGTTGTAATTAGTGACCGGGGCCGGACCGGATCCGGCCGGATTTTTCCGGAGTCCGGGTCCCAAATCCGGGTTTTTTTGAAATTTCCGGATTAAAACCGGACCGGATTAATCCGGAGAAATCCGGCCGGATCCGGTCCGGCTCTAGTTGCAAATCCGGAATCCGGATCCGGGTCCGGCAAATTTTGAGCACCGGATTTGGGATTTTATACGGTCTGAAATTTTCCCATTTTTTCTTGTATTTCTCTATAAAAAAGGTGGATTTTTGACCCCTAACTATACTAAATTTAAAAAATTTCGCCTGCGGCGCTGAAAAGGGATGCATTCTTCTTTATTGGCCTTCCAAAAATCGTACCCGGAAGGCAAGACTGAGTTCCCCTTTTATATACCTCATCTGAGTTTCAGTACTAGGCCGAAAATAGGGTTGGTATGGAGAGTCTAAGCTTCATGGCCATCTAAACTTCAAAAAATTTTGCCTGCGGCTCTAACAATAGAATTTTTTCTCCCGAGGCATTCTAAAATTCTCGAAATTTTCGCTTCCGGCGGTGAAAAATGGAAGAAATCTGGCTTTATAGCCTTCAAAAATTTTCAAAATTTTGGCCTGCGGCGCAAAAAAGGAAGAAATCTGACTTAAGGACCTTCAAAATTTCAAAAATCAACCATGAATTACTTTATTTTCCAAACTTTTAACCTCGAAAGATCCACAAAATATCCTTCATAGCTTCCAAAATCCTTAAATATCCCCCTAACAACATTTTAACACACAAACGACACACATCATACAAAATTTAGCGCTAAAAATGTCATAGAAAATTTTTTTTGAAAAATTCAAAAAATCCAAAATCCGGTCCGGAATCCGGATAATTTCTGCCGGACTCCGGAAATAATTTTTACCGGATTAAAACCGGACCGGATTTATCCGGAAAAATCCGGCCGGATCCGGTCCGGCTCAAGTTGCAAATCCGGAATCCGGATCCGGTTCCGGAAAAATCGATTTTACCGGTCACTAGTTGTAATTAAAAGGTTAGGAAATGAAAGGAATTTATTTTCTCATTTTTTCTCATAGACGCGGATTTTACTATCCGCGCCCGAATATGAAGTTAATATTCCCTATATATATTTTTTTAATTTTTAGTATTTGTTTAATTGTTATTATAAATTATGGCTGTTGTTTCACGTCTTTGGAAGTTTGGTAAAAACACTGGTTGTTATTTTGTTGGAGCTGGTAAGCTTGCTCTCAATCCGAGTACACCAATACCTAAAACTGATGTTCATCCAAGGTTTTCTTTTTTTATTTTTTTAAGAACTTTGATACGTGTCGGCTTTGTGTTTTCTGAAAATTATTCAAAAAACTTCTCAAGAGTCTCATTGAGGATCTATCCTCATAGTTTTTGTAAGAATCGATAAATCTAGCCGATCTTGGTCGACCAAGCTCGAAGAGCTTGGTCGAATGATTTATAATAAATTATATATCAAACAAAAAAAGGAAACGGGAAAAATGGCCATTTTCAGCGGACCCAAAGCCGACAAATTTCCAAAATTTAAATTTTATTAAACTTTTATAGAATGCCTGCTTTCCCAGATACTTTTCCTGAACTCATTCGGATGCTTCCATATCGACATTATTGGAAATTTATTCCTATATTTAGAGCTATTGTATTTGGTCATTGTCTCATCCTTCCAATATATTTGATGAGTTCATGTTTGTTTTAAATTTTTTTATAAATTTATTTTATACTTGAGGATCTCTCCCCTATAAAATTTTTCATGATTCTTAACTCTGGAATTGAGTTATTGACCTGGCCTGGAATATGAGAAAGTTTTTTTAAAGTCTAAAAATTTTTTATGATCCTGGACTCTGGGATTATGTTAATTATCAGAACTGGACATTGGGAAGGTCCCCAAGACGGAGAATGAGTACTGGGGAAGGTTCTCCAAACTTTACCAATCGGTGACATTCCAAATCGTCCTTTAATTAATTTTTTTAATTTTTCTTCTATTTTAGTGAATTCATCTAAAGTCCATGCACAGCGTGACCAACTTAATCACGCTATACACAGTGCTGAGGTTTTTTAAAATTTTACAATTAAAAAGAGTTTTTATTTAAAAGGGTGCACTTGCATATGGCCGTTTGCAGCGTAAGGAGGATGCCAAATACTTTAAAGAATACGATCCTAAAGCTCAATTTCGTCCAAAATGGTTCAAAGATGAAATTTCTTGGATGAAGCTCAAGTATTTTTAAATAATTATTTTTTATTTTTTGGAACTACTGGGGCGAATGGAAGCACAAAATCGTCTCTAATTCACTCCCTTGAAATCTTCCTTTAATCATTTCTCGATCGTCTTCCCCAGACCGCTCTGGCGTTCCGAACGCAAATTTTTTGTACATAAATTTTCATCACTTCAGCGCCGTAGGCGAAAATTTTTTAAATTTCAGAGGCCGTAGGCCAAAAAAATTCACTTTTTTCCCCAGCCCTTCCCCAAATTTTTTCCTTTTCCCCATTTCGGGGGGGGGGGGGGGGGGGGGGAGGGGGCTCTAGCCCCCTCCCCCTGGATACGCTTTTGGTTGGGGGTCGGATGGAAATTTTTTTCTAGGAGAAGACCGGGTTTTCGGGTAACCTATCCCATTCCTTTTTATGTTAGCATACTTTGAGATATCTCGGCTAGCTAACTTATCTAGGATTCAATAGTTTTAATTCTAACAAAGAAAGTGGGTCTGTGTGTGAGATTGAGGTTTGGGGGTTTCGGGGAAGCCCTGAAATTATTCATAAAATATCCGCAAAAATTTTTTTGGGGAAATTTGTATGAATTTTTTTCTAATTAAAATTTTTTAAAGCTATTATCCACATGGTTATAGTGCTGACCATTAGACAAAATAACAACAAAGCAACATAAATTTAAAGAAAAGTTTATAAAATTTAGCAAGAAATTTTTCTTTAAAAAAATTATATTTAAATTGTTGTTGAATGTGCTTTGTTTTTTTTTGTGGTAGGCGACAAATTTTTTCAATAAATGTTTTATAGTTGACTGACAGAAAATTTTTTATTTTCTAAATCGGTTTATTTATCGTAAATGCATTGGGTGTGTTTCTTTTTAGTCCCGGGCTCTAAAGCAGTTTCTTTGAATCAGAACTGTGGCTTAACTCGTAAGGGCTTGAAAACTTATTTATCTCTAACCAGGGATTCGCGTTTTTTGAAATGTCTCCGGAAACGTGTTTGGGGAAACTTTTTGATGTTTTTGAAAGCTAAGAAATCGCAATTCTTTTATTTTTTCTTCAATAACATTACTTATATAATTTTAATATTCTCAATTTTTTCTGCCTGGTAGTACCAGCCTCAAACAACAAATTTTTTTTCATTTTATTTTTTCTTTTAATTTGCGCGAGTTTTGCTTTGTTCTCTCATTTTTTTTAAATTTAGAAAAAGGTGAAAATATTTTTTATGAGAAAGGAGATGGAAGAACGAATATTTTTTACATTATTGATGTAAAAAATATTCAGACATTATTAAAGAAGGAAAAGCTTTCTTTCACGCATCCGCAAAGAATCATGCAAAAAATTGCGTTAAAAATTTTTTTTCTTTTTATTCCTCTAATTTTTTTATCTCCAGACATTGTTTATTTATTTATTATTTTTAAGACATTAAAAATCATTTTTCTGGAATTTCCATCCTTTTATTTTTAAAACACAGTCGAATCTCATTTAAATGTGTTTCGGACCGATTTATCGAGACAACGAGAAAGACTTGCAAAATCTCAATGGATGTGAGGACATTTTTGTTAAAAAATTTTGTTTTGGGTATTTTGTACACATTTTTATGCACATTCTTTTTCTGCTTTTAAAACGCGTCTCACTCGCTCACCAAGTGCTTGCGCCTGTCAATAATTTATATATTTATTTACTACTTTTTCGTGTGTCACATACACACACATATTTCCTTCTCTAACAACATCCTCTCAAACATCCTTTAACACTTTTTATCCTTCACATCCACACACACATCCACTCTCTCCGCCCCAATCCCCAACTGTTGTAGACACAACAAAAAAATTTTTTGGCGAGCGTCTCTCATTGTGAAAAAAGAAGGGCTCAAAAGGGGTGAAAACATGTCATGTATATTATTTAAAAGCATGCGCTTAACGTAAGAATTTTAGTATATACTTATTTGGCAGTTTCTATGTAAAAGCATATGATGCTTACATAGCCATAACTATTCCCATAACTATTCCTATCTATACACTATGTAAATCTTTCCACATTTTTTTGAAGGAAAAAATTGTAAACAACTTCTTTTTTGGGATTTTTAGATTTTTTTATGAAATACTTGGATTTGTTTATATTTTTCCTATTCACAAAAAATGTTTTGGATCCAAAATGAAAATGGAACCCTTTTTATTTATTTACTCAAGCAGATTTAATTAGGGATTTAGGTATTCTAATAGATTCTAACCTGTCCTTCTATTAAACACGCTTACTACTTTCTGACACTCCAATATTCAAAGTAATCAAAACTAAGGATTTAAATAACCATCCATTCCCGGCTTTCTCTGGAGCAGCAAAAAACAATTTTTCTTAAGGTTCAATTGGTTCCAGAATCATGAATTAATCTTTTTTTTTTATTTATTTGACTCGGTTTTTTTCTACGGGGCTATCATTTGTGTGTATTATTTTTTAAATCTAAATTTTTTGATCATTTAATTTCTTAATTTTTCAAAAAATATTTTCTAGGGTTGTCAGTTCAAAATTGAAAAAAATTTTCTTTTTGGTTCTCCAGTTTCAATAGATTTTTTTCCGGATTTTTAGCATAATTTCAGTATCTAATTCTTATTTAGATCCTCGACAACTTTTTTTGCTTGCACTTTGGCCTTGTTGACTTTTTTTGTAAATATTTTTTCTTTCTATCCGTTTTTCCCGATCTATTTTCTAATCCATATCCTTTTTCACAATTATTTGTAAAGTAGGCAGTAATGTAGTAGTAGCCAGTCGATATTAGGATCGTTTGCCTGACTTTTTTTTATTGTAATCCTAAATAACAATAGATTAGTGAGAAGCTGTAAAATAGAGTACATAATATTTTTCTTCCCCTATCTATTTCATTCATAGGGGAGGAAGGGCGGCGATCGGTATACATATTTTTCTTCATTCGTCCGCTTAGATAAATAGAGATTCAACGAAAAAAAATTTTAAAGAAAGATTACTTAAATTGTGGAGAGATGGGAAGGTTGGGAGAGTAAATATGTTGAGAGGAAGGGGAAGGTGTTTGGTTGATGTGGTGGTGGTGTGGGGTTCGCTTAAAACGTCGGTCGTCCTTCATCCCTAAAAAGTGATTGAAAGGTTTGAAACTCTCTGCTACAAACACACACATTTCTTTTATTTGGAATTTTGCACACATTTGCACACCTTTTTTTAACTAAAATGTAGTAAAAATGTGTCCTTTCCTTATAACAATAAGTGAAAAAATTTTTTTTCAGTGAAATACTACAGTGCGGTGCATATGTTTACAAACACTAGAAAATTTTTTCTAAATTCTTAATTTTTTATTCAAAATATACGTTCAATATAGCATTCGAAAGCTCTATTCGTATCTCAGTTGACATGTTTCTGCATTTTTCATAAAAATGAAAATTGGCCGAGATAATCCGGATCTACCGGATATACCAAATCGCATAGCCTCGGAAAAAATTTTCGGAAAAAATTTAACAAACCCATTTGATAAAGCATATTTTTGTGAGTATTTACCACAAAGCCGCTTAAAAATATCTTTATCCGGTCCAGAGATATGATTTTTTAAAAATGGCATTTTTCCTTTAAAAAGTGAATTTTTTGCAAAAATAGGCGAAAAATGCCATTTTCAAAAAATCATATCTCTGGACCGGATAAAGATATTTTTAAGCGGCTTTGTGGTAAATACTCACAAAAATATGCTTTATCAAATGGGTTTGTTAAATTTTTTCCAAAAATTTTTTCCGAGGCTATGCGATTTGGTATATCCGGTAGATCCGGATTATCTCGGCCAATTTTCATTTTTATGAAAAATGCAGAAACATGTCAACTGAGATACGAATAGAGCTTTCGATTGCTATATTAAACGTATATTTTGAATAAAAAATTAAGAATTTACAAAAAATTTTCTAGTGTTTGTAAACATATGCACCGCACTGTATATACATATTTTTTACCACACTTTTTGTTTTATTATTTCTTTTTGATTTTTCTGTATTATAATGGTTAAATCAGTTATAAATTTCACAAATAGTCCTCAGTATTTATCTTGATGAAAAGAAATTTTTTTAAAGAAATGGCATTTGGCCTATTTTGTAGTTAATTTTATTTTATTTAGGTTAGGTTGGCTGAAATATTTTTTAAATCGAATAACCCCCATTTTTAGTTGATTGTTGATCTCTAGATCTCGATGATGGGGCTGAATTAAAAATCAGATCTTTTTCTGCCTCTTTCACCATATTGCTAGGGAAGAATTTTCAGATTTTTAGACTTGTGCTTCTTTCATTTTTTTTCCTCTAAAATATTCTTTACAACAAACATTCTTTTTGTTAGCCAACCCCCCAATTGCCACGCTTTTATTATAAAAATATTATTCTTCAACAATAATTTTATTTATTTATTTTTACTTTTCTTTTGTAGTTGATTTATTTCATTATTCATTGTTTATTTATAAATATTCAATTTCTTTTTTTTATCAAAAATCATTTTTCTATCTTTTTTTTTCTTTTTGCTAATCGTTCCATTCTTTTAATTAATTAATCGTTCGATATTAATTTTGTATTTTTTTACTTTTATTAATTAATTTAATTAATTCAAAATTCCTATAATTTTTCAAAAATTTTGTTTAAACTAAAATAATTTCTTCTTACCCTTTTATAGGCTTCCAATTCTTTTTTTTTACAAATTTGGAATAAAAATTTAGTTACTTGCAATTCTACTCTTTTTATGATTGATCTCTCTTAAATTTTTTGTTTCTAATATTAATTTATACAAAAAAGGTGTTGTGTAGGCTACGATTGAATGGCTTTTTTGGGGCAAACTTTGTTGACCTGGAAACTTGAATTTCAAATATTCTCTTAATTATTTAAAGATTTTACCCCATTTTTCCCTTTTTGGGGTTTTAAAACTTTTCGACGTTTATTTCAACGTGTTTGGCCGATCCATAATTTTTTTATTGAACTCTTTCTTCTCTTCTATTTTTTCTTCTTTCTCCCCTTTTTTTCTCTTATCAAAACAACAAAAACAGCTTTTTTCTTCAAATTGGCATGAATCATCATCCATCCAACAACACAAAAATAAAGATTTTTGTGTACACATTTTTATAAAATAAATAAATATATTTTTAAAATTATTTTTCCTAGAGACTTACAGAAATTATAAAAAATTATAAATTCTTCCTTTGTATGTTCTAAAAAATGGTTTCATCGTCTACTGCTTCAACACCCCATAAACGGCTAATTTCAAATATTTCTTCTTGGAAGGAATCACAAAAACAAGAACAAATGGGGGTTTTACAGACGCCAAATACAGAAAAGGTGAATAAATATATTGTGAATTCTTCTAAGATTTGCTTTGGAACTTTTTGATTTATTCCTGTTGGTAGAAATTGTCAGACAAAAAACCGAGGAGTTATCAGTTCTTAGGATCCGGGTATTCGAAAACTTGCAAGAACCAACAGTTCTAACCGCATATATTTGGTTTAAAGGTGTTTATGCCTTGCGAATAAATGGGGGATCTAAACAATTGAGTTTTCACTAAAGAAGATTTCGTCATGGTAATTAAGTGGATCTTCTAGAAAGAACTAAGCAAAACCCCTAGCAAATCTTCCTTTACTTTCTACTTGCCAAAAAATATTTAAAATTTGCAGGTTGTAGCAGAATTGTTGGCTCGAGCAGCAGAAACTCAATTTCAAGCTGCTGGAGTTCAACCTGTCGATTTGGATCGTTATAAAGAACAACAAGAAGAACAAAGACAAAAACGGCATTTTCTTTTGTGGTTAAATCAAAATGGAAATTTGTATCCAAGTAGGGAACAGAAGGAACGTTTAGCAGAAGAAATGGGAACAAATTATGGAAAGGTGCGGGGGGTTTTAAAAGAAATTTGAAGGGATTTAATTGAATATGTACACATGTCTGACTTAATTTAAAGATTGTTGAAGTCTGATTTAGTTAAAAAAATTTTTTGGTTGGGTGAACCTTTATTTAATATAAATGGATAGGGAGATATGTAGGTGGGTGGGTTTTAAGACACCTTATAAGGTACAATTTCAATATCGGACAGGCTTGATAGTAAATGGTAATTGTTTCGGATAAGTGGGGTGTGTGGTTTCACTTGTTTAAAACATTAAAGTCTAATAAATCAAAAAACCATTTTATTACCATTTTGACGATAAATTAAATGATTAAAAAATATAATAAATTTCATAATATTCCCCCCATTAAAAAAGGTGAACAAACTATTCGCCAATCAACGACGTCGTCAACATAAACAAAAATCTATTGCTAAAAAAGAGGAAAAAAATAATCATCGACTGATTTTTGACAAAAAAGAGGAGAAAGAAGGAGAAGAAGAAGGACAACACATTGATCAAACTATTGAAAGTGTTTGGAATAAAGTAATGGAAGAAGGGAGGAGGAGGGGGAATAGCAGTAGCACTAACAGTAACGACGAGGGATATAATAATGATGAACAAAAAATTGTTGTTGACAATGATGACGTTAATAGAGGTGGGGGAAATTAAATTATTTTTAAAAAGGGTTGCGTATATATGGGGCGCTATACAAAGGACAAATTACTTGTTAACTTTCAGAATTTTAATTAAACTTGTGTTTTTAAATTTAAAAAAATTCTGGTTTTATAAAAAATATACAAATTTCGTAAATTCTGATTTCTTTCTCTTATTTTTCTGAAATGTATTTTAAGGAAAAAGTTATACAAAAGAAA